GGAGAAAACATAGTTTTTTAGTAACACTGGGATAGGTAAGGTCTTTTAAAGTAAGATATAAAGCCTTGAAACTGTAAAGGAAATATATGATAAGTTTAGATGTCCCGCAGGAACCTCAAGACTTGCCACATCCACGGCTAAGTCCGTCACTGCCTCAAACCTGCACCTTCTCTTGGTTTGCCTTATCTCAGTGAGTGGCACCAAGGTCCTAGACTCTTCCCTCCTCCAAGCCCTTCCGATCCTCTCATTAAGGCTTGCTCAGTATACTTCCTCAAAATCTCTTGCCTCCATCCACCTCACCAGTAGGTCTTCACCTCCATCTCCACCACCATTGGCCAAGTTCTCGGTGCCGTTTCTGGCCTGGGCCATTATACAATCTGCTAATTGGTGTCTCTGCCTTGAGGGCTAATCAAGTGATAATTCTGAAACACAGATTTGGGCCTATTATGTTCCTCCTCAAACTTGTGTCTCCCCATCAATCCCAGAATAATAAAATCTTAAGCTCTTAAAATTCAGAGCTCTTTGGGGTTTCTTCTAGCCAGTCACTGCTGACCTTACTAGCTTCATCTCTTGCCTGTCATTCCCCTGTCTCTTACTCTTCATCACCCCTCACCACCACCTGCTAAACTTCATTATTTTTGGACACTCCACATTTCCCCTCTAGGATGTGCCTATGCTGTGATTATGCAAGCATTCACCCCCTACTTCAACCCCAGCTTGCAGGCTAGCCCTGCCCACATGCCCCTCGAACCTCTGCTTAACTTTGTCCTCCCAGGAACCCTTCCAGATCCTCACACTGAACGAGACACCTTTTCTGTGCCTCCTTTCCTCCTAGCAATGTTCACACTGCACCACCTACAGGTCTGTCTGAGCTCTTTGAGGGCAGGGAGCTTTGAGAGCTTGTGCAGCCCTGTGCCCGCCATGGCCCATGGGCACCCAGCACACAGAAGGTGTCAGTGTGTTTGCCGAATGAATGAACACACAAAGGAATGAGCCTCCACGACATTCCTTGGGCCCCTTCCCTCCGGGTCCAGGCTCTGCTTCCTGTCCTTTACTGTACAATTCCCAGACAAGTGCAGCTAACTGGAGCAGGTCAGCCTCAGGCGGTGGCCCTCTGTGAGCTCTCCCTGAGTGTCCTGAGTGACCAGCTCCTTTGCACAGCAGATGCAGGACTACCCTTGGGCCCAGCCAACAAGCTTGCCCTTTGTTGGGCAGTAGCCCCACTCACCTGAGAGCTTTATACCTTTGCACCCCTCCCACTGTAGTCTTGGTGATATAAAATATTTCCAACATTAAGAATATTAATGCCCATAAGAAGAAAAGAGGGTCATTTTTTTTTTCACAAGGTGATGACCCTACAGGAACATAAAACAGGTTAGACGTCTAGAATTCGGAGGCGAGGAAGACTTATTCTCAGAGGCCTTCAATGTGAGCACAAAGCTGTGGCCTACCCGCTCTGGTCCCCCACCCCGTAACAGCTTCAGGCTCCCCTCATTAGCTCAGTGAGAGGTGCCAAAAGATGGTGCTGCTGATCCAGGTGGCCCCCGGGCTTCAAAGCAGAGGTCTTTGAGAGGCCATGCTGTCACCGGCCTCACCCTATTGCTCTCTCTGACCGCATGGCCTGTTGAAAGACCCAGGTCTGTCTCTGTGCTGCTTCTGCCTGGTTTCTTCATTTTCTACCGGTGCCATTGATTGTTTAAACTGATCATAAGAAGGTTGCACTGACTCTTATGAAGGCTTCAAGGGCTGGAAAAAGCCTGTACTAGAAGCCCTTAACTGCTTTGTCACCCACTTGCTGGGTGAACTGAAGCTAGTGTCTCCCCCAGTCTGGGTCTCTCTTTCTTCATTGTAGCAGACCAGTTGCAGCAACGTAGGTGCAACAATCCCTGGCAAACAGGACCAGTAGTCAAAGTTGGTGGAGTGAGTGACAGTTGGTCTCATCAAGCTTGTCTGCCCCTACGTCACCTGTGCCATCGATTGTACAGGATGTACTTTCTCACCATTGGGCCATCCAGAAAGCTAGCATCTTTGCCTTCCCATCAAGAAGAAGACAATGAGGTGTTCCAAACAGAAAGCACGTACAAAGACACGTGGGTGCATCACCTGTACAGTCCTTAGAACACGGAGTCAGTGTCCATTGTCACCCCTAGTGGAGGAACCTGAAGTTCAGAGAAACTACTCAGCAGGGGATGCAGCCAGTGGGCAAAGTTAAGACTACAAACAGGTCTGACTCCAGAACCTACTTTATCATTTTCAGAAAACAGTAAATGGAAAATAGGGGTTAGGGCTTTAAATGGAAAAGGATATGATCAGATTTGTGTAAGGAAGATCTCTAAGGAAACAAGAGAATGGGTTAGAGGGGCGAAGAGGACACACTGTCATAAAAGCAAAAAATGGTGGGCTGGTCAAGGCGGGGAAACTGCCAGAATGATGAGAAGTGGATGATTAGACAGAAAATAAAATATGTAGTTCACACTTGATTAGATTTGGGGAGTGAGGGAGATGGCGAGGTGTCAAGCCTGACTCTCAGGTTTCTTGTTGGGACATTTTGGGGTGTCTTTCACTGGGGTAGGGAACACAAGGCAGTAAAGAGGTTTGGGAAAGAAAATCAGTTATTACTGGGCATCTTGAGTTTGTGTGGGTGTCTAGATAAAGAGCTGTTCCAGCATTTGGATCTGGGGTGTGGAGCTCAGGGGAGAGCTCCAGGCTGGAGATGGTGCTCCTCAGGGGTAGTAGTTGAAGCTCGGGGCGTGGGTGAAGCCATCTTGTGTGTAGAGTTGGGGGAGATCAAGGACAGAGACTGGGGCATGTGGATCTTCTCCCAGCTCAGGGTGAGGCACAGGTGGGAGACCAGCGTTTGCCCTCTGGACGGCAGGTGACCCGAGGGAAGGGGCTGGGCACTTTCTCTTGGGCCAGGGGAGGCAGATTGAGCGATTTGTCCAGCAATGAGGGAGGAGCCAGATGAAGTCAATAGAAAACTAATTTTCTTTTCTGCTGGAAGAAATGAGGTGTGTGGCTGCTGGGTAATTGCAGATAACGAGGGGACTTATTCTTAATATGCAGAGCGGCTATGGTCCCCAGAGTGCAGGAGACAGGAAGGATAGGAGGTGCCCTGACAAGACCAGACCCCTATGGGAAGAAAATCACTCTGTCACAGCTCTGGGCCTATCATGAACCATACGCCCTCCCAGGGTTCTTCCTGCCCCAGTCCCACCCGTGCCCCTCCTGCACAGCTCTTGCTGTCCTGCTCCCCTTCCTGTCACAGTCCCCTCCCTCCACCCCCTCCCTCCCCAGCACAGGCATACACACTAAGGGAGACAAATGACGGGGCCTCAGATGAGCGGGGTGCGTGTCCGGCCCATAAACCACAGGGATGGGTCACGTCTGGAGTTGCCATGGCCGCCACTCCCTACCCATCTGTCTTCCCTCTGTTCTGCCTCAGACCAGCCCTCGTGACTTCCTGAGTCCCTGGAAGAACAAGATGTCTCTGTGTCTCCGTCCCGGGTCACCTCTCCATGCTCACATCCACCACCGACATTCACATTGAGCTCTGCAAGACAGGGCCCTGTGTGGCTGTCTGGCCCACGCAGGGGTTGCAGAGCTGGCGGCTGGCTAATGGTACTGGCCCTGGGCTTACCAGACCCTTATCCCACTCCTGCAACTTTTCTAGCTCTGGTGAACCCCCTTCCTAGTCTAAGGTCCTAGAAAGGACAGGTAGGGGAACTCAGTGGCTCAGTGACAGGAGTTGGTCCTTGACAGCTGTGGAGGCCTCCTGACCCCACCTTGACCTTACCACCCCTCACATTTCTGATTATGACATTGATGTACCATACTTCTGCCATCAGAGCCATCGATCCCATGAGGGCTGGTGGTGGCTGAGGCCCTGGTTATAGCCAGAAGCGCCTGTGGGAGGTGGAAGGAGAGGCTGGTGAAGGGGAGTTGGCAGCTGCTGTGGGCAGTGCGAGAAAACCCAGGCACGTGGGCCAGTTCTGTCCTAGGTGTGCTATGGTGCCACAAGCTGTGGGCAGTTGGAACTCCTGCTAGTGGTGACAGAACACATCCTGGCCCATGTCCATGATGCTGAGGCCCTAGAGTACCTGTTCCTGTGGCCACCAGGGTTCAGGACAGTTTTGAACGTGGGGAACAATACTAGTGAAATTGCCATGACAGAGTCTGGCAGACACAGACATATGTAACCTGAGATGCAGCTGGACAGGGCTAAAGCCCGACCAGCACCAGCTTTGGGCCCACTGGGCCGGGAGCCGCAGGACTTGGGCTCAGGTGTATCTAGTAGGAGGTGCTGGCCAGGGTGTTAGGGAACCACACAGCTGGGCACTTTCCACTGGTCTGGGGCTGCCCAGGAGCCGGTGTCCTGTCAGGCTGCTGTTGGAGCATGTAAGCCCGGGGCTCAGGGCAGGTGTTATCCAGGGTCCTGGCCCAGAAGTGCCGAGGCATGTGCCTTGTCACCAGTGATTATGGTTTGGGCCACATCTCCCACACACACGCAAGTGCTGGCAAAGTCACCCTGGCCGTGGGCGTGATAAATGGTCGCACAGTAATGAAATGGAGACATCAAGGCGGGTGGCGGGAAGACGGAGTGTGGCGGACAGGCCGTCCCCACGCGGCGGCAACAAGAAGGATCGCCCAGCGGCCGGGGGCCGTCAAGGGAGAAATTACACATTTACTCTGCCTTTTTCTTACTGCGACGGCGCCCATACATCACTGCTGGGGCCGGGGCGGGACACGCCGGCCAATTTCCAGCATGAATTATGGGACTGAGAAGCATTGAGACCAGGCTTCCTGCTGGGCCAGCATCACCCAGCCCAACCTAAAGCTGGAAATGCTGCCGCAAGGGGATGGGACCCCCTGGCTTAGAGTCTGTGGCTCCTGAATCTGACCCTGCTTCCCACCCCCACCTATGTAAGAGCACCTGTGGGCATGCCTGGAAGGGAAGGGAAGGATCAGGGGCCTGTCTAAATGTCTTCTTTTCCTCTTTTTAGATGACTGCAAGAACATTGCCAACATCATGAAGACACTTGCATATCGAGGCTTCATCTTCAAGCAGACATCGAAGCCGTTCTGATTGGCCGAGGACAGGATGGGGCAGTACAGGGTAGCTGCTTGGCCCAGCCCAGAACCCTCCTCTCCCTCGCCAGAGGGGAAAAGGGAGAGTAGCACAGCTCTACGTCCAGAGTGTCCCCCCGGCCTGCCCTGTGGGCTTGTGCCCTAGGTAAGGGCTTGGCCACCTGGTCCCTCCTGAGCAGATACTTTGTGGCCCCCCCCCACCCACACCCCCCCCACCCAGCCCAGTATGAGCCCCTCCCATTATGGGCCTGGGCTAGGGCGACCCAGGCACTCACCGCCTCCTCCCTGGTACACAGGCTTCTGCTGGGGCCACAGGCCCCCCTGTGCCCCCTCCTATCCGTAGTGCATGGTGTGTGGTGCCCCCAGGGCTCCAGGACAGATCAGGCCCCACCCTGTGTCTACCCCATCCCCATTGTAAACATGCCGCTGAATAAAGTTGGGGAAACCAGGCCCTGAGTGTGTGTGGACCAGGTGTGCCGTGCCTGACGCTGTCAGGAAGGGTAGGGGTTAGAGCTTGTTCCAGGCGGCTCTGGGCTCAAGGCCACCAGTGCAGCTAATCGTCACTGAGGTCCCTCTGACAACCTCCCTGAATATGCACATGGCCACAGGGACTGAGCACAAGGCTATCTGAAGCTGCTAGATCTGAAGCCACTGCTGCACGTGAGCCATCTTGAGTGTAAAACCACAGGCGTTTGGGCAACATGAGCGGTGGTTAACGGTTAGAGGGCCATGACGGGCATCCACGCAGGCAAGCCTGCTGCCACCCATTAGGTGGGTGTGGTGACCCCCTCTTGCCCACTTTCCCAGTCAGGGGCACTACAAGTGGTTGGAAGGAAAAGGAAACAGCCCAGTCCAACTCAGTAGCTCTATTTACACAACAGCATTACCCACACCCCTTTGTGGCCCCTCATGGCTTCTTGGCTTTCTTCACTGAAGAGGAGCTTGAGGCTGATTCCCGGCGCTTCCTCTGAGGAGACACAGAAGGTGTTGAGGTCAATGGCCCGAGGCCTGATTCACGCTTGGTGTGTGTTTCACACTGACCACCCACTCCCACCCTCAGTCTCAGCCCCTCAGTGACAAATCCCTTTGCAGACACTAGAGGGAGCAGAGCCTGCACATGCGCGCGCACGCGAGCTCACATGCAGGGCCAGTTCACACTCTTTCAGCCTGTCCAGGCTCTTACCGAATTGGGTGTCAGAGGTGCGCCCACCACATCAATGATGGTGTCCTTGGTGGGGTCAGGGCCGAGACTGGATTCGGGTACTGCTGACTCAGCAGAGGCCGGGACAGGGCCTGATGCTGGTGTGGCAGGGCCGCCCAGCACACCAGCCCGGGCCAGTGCCTCGTGACGGTGCCGCAGCATCTGTAGCTCATACTCGCAGTTGGCACAGGCCTGCTTGAGCTCATAGAGCAGCACCAGGTCGCTCCGTAGCTCGTTGAACATATGCACCAGCTCCTCCGTGGGTGTGGGGCTCAGCTCTGCAGGTGGTGGGGAGGGTAGAGGGCACAGGGGCAGAGTCAGGGTGTGCTGGAAGGCTGGCAACAGGGACTGCCCTCCCCCCCTTAACCACCGCCTCTGGTAGGTCTGTCCTGAGGGGCCCAGCCTCCGCACTCACCCACACCCAGCTCCAGCAGCATCTGTTCCAGGGCCTTGATCTTCTTCTGTCCCACAGAGCTTGGCAGCTTCATCTGCAATGACACAGCAGCTCAGCCCTCTGCCCCACAAGCAGCTTAGGATGAAGGGGATCAAAGGCAGTTGGGGAAGTGAAGAAAAGTTAACCCCCGGAGGCAGCTCTGGGTCAGAAAAGCAAATAGCCAACAAGTGGAATATAGTGAAAGCTGTGACCTGGGCCTGGCCACATCCCCGAGGCCACCTCTACTCGCAGCACATGGCACAACCTCCCCTACTGCTCCAGCCCTGTGGCCTGCAGCATTTGGGCCACAGAGTACCCAGGGCCCAAACACACTGAAGGTGACATGTACCCTCTGGCTCCGTAGCGTGACGCCTGCAGACTTGAAGTCTGGAAACTTGATGCCTGCAGTCTCAGGAACAGCCTAGGGGAGAAGGAATTACAGAGATGAAGGTGTCAGAGGGAGAAGGCCCAGTGTCAGTCCCAGGACCCTGCCAGCTCTCAGCCTCTCAGAGCCTTCCATTTGGGGGCCTCTGCAACCCCTCCACCCTGAGCTGGGCTGATTCAGTCTCCACACCGGCTTCTCAGCCTCCTTTTTCTGGGGTAGCTTCTTCTTGGGGGCTTTGCGTTCGGTGCGCCGCTGCTCTGCAGTGGTGTCTGCCGCTGTTATCAGCTTCTGCAGGTCCTGACTGCGCTTCTCCCGCTCCTTCTTCCGGGCCTCGATCTTACGCAGCTCCTGCAGCAGGTACTCCTCCTCTGCCACCTGGGAAAGCGAGAAGTACTAAGAAGCCTGTGCAGGCACACGGGGGAGTGAGGGTAGACAGGGAGATGGAGCGGCACTGGGCTGTCTATGAGGGAATCTGAGAAATAAGAGATCATGAGGGAGTTGAACAGCTATGGAGAACAGGGTGGGTGGCCAGTGAAGGGTAGGCCTGGGCGGGGGGAGGTACACAAGTACCAGCCAGTGGGAGGTGGGGGATCTGGGGGTGAGAGACTATGAAGGATGGAGTCAATGGGTATTGGGGCATGGAGGAGAGTCTGTGGGGCTTGGGGCTGACCTGCTCTGGGGTCCGGTTGTAGAGACGCTCCAGCTGTTCCTTCCGCCGTCGTTCATGCCCAGCATCAAATACTGGTATCTTAAGGTCTGTACCTGGCACAGCCCGCACGTTGGCAAGCTTGGCACAGATATGGTAGTACCGCTCTTTCAAATCCTCCACAGAACGCTTCTGAGGATAAAGACGTGAGGGTGGTAGTGTTACTCAGAGGCATGTGGAAGGGAAGGCATGAAAGTAGTGGGCCTGCTAGGCCTGGGGGTTGGGCACACATGCAAACGCACATCAACTCACCTTGAACTGCTGGTGGTCATACCGGTCATGGATAACTACAAAACGAAGGTCAAAGCGACGGCTGAGATCAAAGAGGTGGTCAGTTTCTGCTTTAGTCCAAGCATCATCATGAAGATAGAGCTGGTACTCCTGCTCTGAGTACACGGGGACCTGCACCGTCTAGTGGCACAGAGGGGCACAAGCGGGGACATGCCCACGTCATGTCTCAAGTGACCACAGCCCCTCCAATTTATTGCCAATCCCTGAGCTGGACAAAAGCAAATTCTCTGGGTAGGTCTTTGTACAAGGCAGCCTGGAGGTGGTGTTTTCCAGAGCAAGGAAAAAAACTGCTTGACCAGAGGCCCCAGCCGGGTCTAGAACTGCAGCTTGCCTCTGCATCCACGCCAGGGGCCGCTTCACCATGCCTGCAGCTCCGGAGCCCTCGTAACAGCACACATGTTTCTGTCCCCATGGTTAAGAAGCCCACGTGTATGCACTTCTGCGGAGTAGGGCCAACCGCTAAATACTGGAGAAAGGCCCAGGCTTCGCTAGTCCCTAGTCCGTGGAACACTGGTCTGAAGCACTCCTGCCACCCCGTGGTAACAGTGAGACTTGCAGCTCCCCCAGAGCTGGACAAGGTCGCATAGCTCTCTTAAGAAAAGGCACCTGAATCCTACTTCTAATATATGCACCCCAGTCCCTGCCCGCCCGTTCCCCATACCTCCCTCAGGGACAAATACTACCACTAGCAGCTGGGTTGGCCAGTCAGAGACCCCAAGATGAGTCAATGCTAGGCTGGACCAGGGAGGTTTCTCCATCAAAGGCCACCTGCTCTGAACCTGCTCTCAAGATCCTCAATTCCAGCTGCCTCTTGAACATCTCCTATGGAGGTCCCATATACAACTTAATACATTCAAGTGACAGATATTGGTAAGATTTACTGTGGTAATTATTTCACAGTACACCCAAATATTGAATCATTATGTTGTACACTTTAAATTAATAATGTCATATGTCAGTTATACCTGAACTTAATTTAACTAAAAAACTTAATATGTTCAGCACTGAGCTCATCACCCTCCCTCAAACTTCTATGTCCTCCAGTCTAGATCTCAGTCCCTGTCACCATCACTCAACCCAGGTGTCCAAGCCAGAAACCTGGGAGGCATGTTTAATTCCTACCTTTTCCCTTAACTCCCCCCCCCCCCCCCAAATCTGTGGCTTTTACCTCTGGAATCTCTCTCCCCGCTTCTCCACTGCCTCGTCCCAGTCCAGATCACCATCATCATGGAGCCTCCGTGGTCTCCTGCCTCCATTCAACCCTCCCCCAAGCAACCCCCCACCCACAGCCAAGATGGACTCTCTGAACAGTGCTAAAGGGCAGCCCACAGGCCAGTGCTGTTGGCCAACTGTTACCACTGGTGTATGGTAAGTAAGGAAATTGAGAGTAGGCATTTAGAAACCTTCATAACAATTTTACAGTAATCATACACTGCTGAATCTAAGCACTGTTCTAGAATATATACCTATGTCACCCAGCCATCTACGTTTAAACCCCTCAAAGGCTCCCCACTACTCTAAAAGTACCTTAGAAGTAATTCGCAAACTCCTCAAGAGCAAGGGTTGTCTGGTTCATTTCCTACCTTCAGGGTTCAGCACAGGGCCAGGTACTCTATAGGTATCAATGAAGATTAACTGAAACAATCAGTGAACGCAGGGGTTAAAGACTCCCTCTGCAGCCATTGTCCCTTGTGGACCTAGGTCCCAGCCAAATGACTAGCAGTGTCTGTCCCATACCAGACTCTCCCCCTCAGCCTTTGCTGTTCTCGCCTGAGATGCCTTCCCACTTCTACATTCCTTCTACCTAGATAACTTCTCATGTCCTCTGGGAAGTCTCTGATTTCCCAGGCCTGGTTAAGTATCCCTCCTGTGCATTTCAATTGCGTTTAATTAAAATACTCTGGAACTGTGTAGCCAGTCCTGCTCTCAAGGAGATCACAGTCCAGTGTGGGAGCCATTCACTCACTCAACAAACATCTATCATGGGCCTGCTACATCTGAGCCGGGGACACAGCACTGAGTAAGGCAGACGGGGCTCTTACCTCTCAGAGCTCACAGACCAGCTGAACAATTTAGTATGGTGTGGCAAGTCTGATGACAAAGGTACACCTAAGGTGTAATGAGCGACACCTGATCCAGCCTAGGGACAGGGCTGGTCAAGGTGAAGGTAAATGACGCCTGCTGCAGCCTTAAGGTTAAGCAGA